CACTTCAACTGAGGCTTTTTTTTTTTTTTTTTTTTTTTTTTTTTTTTTTGGTGGCAACAAAATAATACCCAGCAGGAATTTGGGAGGAGAAAAAAGAGAGTTCAGTTGGCAGGTTCTCAAATGAATGGGTTGTAGTGTCATTGGAACTGAATTGGGCTTGAAACCAGACATGATCCTATTTTGGAAGCATTGTTCAGAGGGATGGGAAATGTGAACAGAGGATAAGTCTCTTCAAAAATGTTCTTTTTCCTTGGCCTGTTAAAGATACCGTATTTTAACCTAACTCTCCCATTCACTTAATGGCAAGAGCCTACATAAAAACCTAGAGAGGGTCAGAGTAACTGGAAAAGTGCTCAGCTATTCATCTGTTGACCTTTTGATTAGAGCACTAATTTTACTTTGGGAAGAGGTTGTGTATTGACTACAATCACTTATTACTTATCGTCCTTGTAATTTACCAATTCTGGCTCTTAGGTTCATCGATGCTTGGATAAGGCAGCACAGGGTATTTATGTTTACTATATATTTAACAAATATTTAAAATATTTTTGAAAGCCTGCTGTGTTCCAGGTACTGTGTAAGATGGATATGGGATCAGCAAAACTGATGCTGTCTTTTCCTTCATGTAGTTTACAATCTCGAGACGTTAATAGGTGATATAGAGAACAGGATGCTTTGAGGGTCTGTAATATGAAATCTTAGTAGGTCAGGTGCAGTGGCTCATGTCTATAATCCCAGCACTTTGGGAGGCTGAGATGGGCAGATTACTTGAGCTCAGGAGTTCAAGACCAGCCTGGGCAACATGGTGAAAAGCTGTCTCTACCAAAAAATACAAAACAACAACAACAACAACAGCAACAACAACAACAACAAAAAAAAACAAAAAACAAGAAAACATTAGCCAGGTGTGGTGGCGTGTATCTGTGGTCCCAGCTACTTGGGAGGCTGAGGTGGGGGGATTACTTAAGCCCAGGAGGCAGAGATTGCAGTGAGCTGAGATTGTGCCACTGACTTCAACCCAGGTGACAGAGAGAGACCCTGTGTGTGTGTGTGTGTGTGTGTGTGTGTGTGTGTGTGTGTGTATCTTAGTATACATTAGTGGCATGAGGAATTCAGGGAAGGCTTTTCTGAGGAGTAGGCAGTTGAACTAAGACCTGAGGGATGAGTGGAAGTTAGCTTGGAAAATGCAGGGCTGGAGATGGGGTGGGGGAAATAATTCTGTGCAGAGAGAAGAGCCTGTGACAGGATTGAGAGGGGCAGAGGGTATATGCAAGGAATTTAGCCATTGTAGCTGAACTAGGAGGAACAGAATAAGAGATCCAACTGGAGAGGCAGCATGTTGTCTAGATCCCACATTTTCTATGTGCTGTCTTAAGGGTTTTGGTCTTTAACCTAAGAGCAGTGAAGTGCAATGGAAGAGTTTTAAGCAGGAGAAGAATATAACATTTGCCTTTCGAATAGATGACTTTAACCACAGGTTAAGGTTGAAACAGAAGCAATTAGCTTTTGCAATTGTAATGTCTACAGAGGAATAATTAATGGAATGGCTAATGGTGTTCCATCTTAACTCTCATCTAGATCATAACTTAGGCGTGACGCAGTCTCTAAGAAAAGGGTCACTGTTAATACAAGTGCGTGAGACTTAGAAATAAGTCCCTCTCCTTATTTTGGTCATAGGTTTCAATGGGGTTGGACCAGATTATAGCCCTCCTTTGGCAAAATTAACCCTTAAATTCAGCTGTAAATTCTATACTGCTACTGTGGTGCAATTTTCAGCCAAGGTTGTGGGCTTTTACTGCACCAATAGGGATGATAGATTTAAAAAACTGAAGATTTATTGAACAAAAGCAGACTAGCAAAGATCTATAGATTATTGTATTGTTAAATGGATAGTTATATCTTTAACCCAATGACTGTGAATGTTTGTTTGATCAAGGGGATTTTTACTCTTAGCACCAAGTTATATTTCTTCTCAATGAAATTATGTGCATATAGCAAGGTGCTATGGGGATCATGCCATCTGTGTTTTAAAATATGAGATAACATGAGATAGTCATTTAAATGATGAATTGGTTATTAGAAAACTGGGATTGTGTGTTGAAAGGATCACTGACTCACTGTGTGACCTTGGAAAGCCATTTTCCTTCTTTGGGACACACTTTTCTCTTTTGTAAAATGTGAAGATTTGTACTAGATCAGCATAAAAGTGTGTTCTTTCAATAGTTTTTGAAATCCATTATATGAAGAAAAGATACCCCAGTCTATTTTTTCTCCCTGGAGATGCATGATCTAAGTATATTGATGGTGCATTTGATTCCACAATTTTTACATTACCTAATCCATCATACTTCCATATTCCTGTGTGGTTGGATCATTTCTCTGAAACTCAGTTTCCCCATCTATAAACTAGGTCAAGAGCAGGGGTTGCCAAACTTTTTCTGAAAAGGGTAAGTTAGTTAATATTTTTAGGCTTTGTGATTATAGAGTCTTTGTTGTAACTACTCAATTCTGTCATTGTGGCTTTTCACAATAAATAAATGAATGGGGGTGGCTGTGTTCCAATAAAACTTTATTTACACAAGCTGGAAGGGGACTGGATTTGGCCCATGGGCCATAGTTTGTTGACCTAGGCCAGAGTGTGGGCTAATGAGTCCCTAGTGTCCTCATTGCTCTGACTCTCTCTTGACCTTCTCCCCGAATGGCTATTCTCTCCCAAGTTTGAAGTCATCTTTCCTCAAAACTGTCCCTCTGGTCTATGAAAAGTCATCATCATCTTCTTTTGAAAGGTCTGGATATAAGACTATCCTGTCTCTAGCTGCTGGGATGCCTTCCTTACACCCTTGTTTTGTTTGTCTTAGTAACTACCCTTCTTTAATCCCTGTGAAGGATTGGTTAACTGGAATTTTCCTTGTCTTCCTCCCCCAGAGCCTTTGATCTGATACTCATAAGCATTTGCTGACAGCCAGACAGAAAAGGTGGAGGCCAGATTCCAGGCCTGAGGGCCCAGAGAGTAATGAATGAAGGCTGCGTTTATTTGTATTTCTAATTGGCAAGTCCATTTCCAGATCAGCTGCGTGTCACTACAAGCCGAGAACAAGAGCAAGAGATAACTCTCCTTTTTCTCCCCGACATCAGGGCTCAGGGCCCCTATTTCCACTGAGGCAGAAGCTTGCCTTGACATTACCAGGCTTTGTTGAATCTGCCAGATGGATTAAGCTCCGTCTCTTAGTATAAAATTACCATGTTTTACCGCTCAGATGACGCACTGCACATCTGTGAGGATACCATTCACATAGTCTGTGATGTAAAAGGAACCCTCTCGGATGTACAAATCACTTTGCTGCTTCAAGGTTTTTGATATAGCCATAGAACCCCCCCCCTTTTTTTTTTTAATGAAATCTTGTATAGAAGGCCAGTCTATAAAAGAAATATAAGTGAAACTGCTCTGTTTGAAACAGAAATGAGAGTTTAGAGCCCTGCCTGCTCAATTTCCCTCTTTTTCTATACAATCAATTGCTGTGGTGCTTCCTAGGATCCCTAGGATTCCTCAGAAGAGTTTTGGAGACTCTAGACTAGATCATGAATATAGCTGTAGCCATTCAGAATTCTATAATCTCTCTGTCTGACTGAGTATCAAATACATCCCTCGCACCATGTTTGGCACTGAAAGTGGGTAGGAATGGAAGCCATGGCCCCTGGTCTCCAAGAGTTGATAATATTGTTTTAGAGGTCAGCAGAAAATGGGAAGGGAAAATGAACTTAAATGAGATCTCATAAGTAGAAACACTTATTCAGAAAAGAAGGGCTGGGGCAATGAAGAATGATTCCCTAAAGACAGTAACATTGGAATGGAGCATAGATAGATAGAAGAGATGTGGAAAGGCCGAAGGGAAAAGCAGCACAGAGTGAGCAAAGGCACAGAGGTGGGAAATACTGGTTTACAGATCAAGAGAGATGGCACAGAATGAAGCAAGCATTAGATCTCAGTGTGCACATGAAGAAAGAGGCAGGAAAAGTGTGAACAAGGGAACAGGTAAGCACACACACACACAAAAAGGAGAAATAATGTCTTTTCCAGGCAGTCCTACCTCCTTCTTTCTCATTTGCTATTCATAACTGATTTCATTGGTATTATTAACTCCATTTCTCAGAATTTATCATTGGAGTCACCAGGATATTGACATTTTCCTAAAGTTGCGGAGGTATTTTCAAGCAGAAATGAGATTTCAGATGAAGTTGGCTTGATCCAAAGCTTGTGTGTTCCTTGTAATATTGGGCTGCATGGAAAATATAGGACTAGATATAAATTTTAAAGGAAGGATATACTTTTTGTAGGTTGACAGACGACAGAAAGGAATTTTTGGTTGTCTAAAAAATACCTTTGAATATTTATATCTTGCACAATTACTGAGTAACAATGTAGCCCAACCTACCAACTTTATTTATTCATTTATTTTTCATTTATTTATTTATTTTGAGATGGAGTCTCACTCTCTTGCCCAGGTTGGTGTGCAGTGGCACAATCTCAGCTCACTGCAACCTCTGCTTCCTGGGTTCAAGTGATTCTCCTGCCTCAGCCTTCCGAGTAGTTGAGATTATAGGTACATACCCCCATACTCGGCTTGTATTTTTAGTAGATATGGGGTTTAGCAATGTTGGCCAGGTTGGTCTTAAACTCTTGACCTCAGGTGGTCCACCTGCCTTGGCCTCCCAAAGTGCTGGGATTGCTGTGCCTGGTCCCAACTTTACATATGGGGAAAATGAGTGCCAGACAAAGTGAGTGGATATTTAATGTAAGTAGTAGGACAATACACCATTCTGGCCTTTGAACCCTCATTCTGGCAGTCTTTCCAAGGCATCATGAATAAATCACTCTATCATCTTTTTACCTCTTCAATGGATACCAGCTTCTTAGCATCTGTATTTTGTGAGTTCAAGAGTCTGGCCTTTTGAGTAATCCTGAGTTTACCCTTCCCTTTTCCTGTTTTGTGCCTCTCCAGAGACCACAGAGCTGGGCAGCAAGAAGGAGCTCAAGTCCATGCCCTTCATCACCTACCTCTCAGGTTTGCTGACAGCCCAGATGCTGTCAGATGACCAGCTCATTTCAGGTGTGGAGATTCGCTGTGAAGAGAAGGGGCGCTGTCCATCTACCTGTCACCTTTGCCGCCGGCCAGGCAAGGAGCAGCTGAGCCCCACACCAGTGCTGCTGGAAATCAACCGTGTGGTGCCACTTTATACCCTCATCCAAGACAACGGCACAAAGGAGGTAAGCTTCCCTGGCCCAGCCACTCAGTCAGACTTGACCAGCCCTCCTACCTCCTGCCCTTGTGGACCCTTTGTCCAGGGGAATTGTCATCATGATCATCATCATACCATCATCATGGTGATTACCAACATTTATTGATTCCTTACCATGTTCTAAGTACTTACATAGTTTGACAATACTAGTTGTTATAAACAATAAACCCTTAAATCTCAGTGGCTTAATATAATCAAGGTTTTTGTTTATTTGTTTGTTTGTTTGTGCAGCATCCCAAATAAATGTTTTTGGTTGATGGGTGACTTTATGAGAAGTAGTGCAGGCTGGGCGCGGTGGTTCATGCCTGTAATCCCAACACTTTGGGAGGCCAATGTGGGTGGATCACCTGAGGTCAGGAGTTTGAGTGCAGCCTGGCCAACATGGTGAAACCCCATCTCTACTAAAAACACAAAAATTCACCAGGTGTGGTTGCAGGCATCTGTAATCCCAGCTACTTTGGGAGGCTGAGGCAGGAGAATTGCTTAAACCTGGGAGGCAGAGGTTGCAGTGAGCCGAGATCGCGCCATTGCACTCCAACCTGGGTAACAGAGTGAGACTTGGTCTCCAAAAAAAGAAAAAGTAATGCAGGGGCTCAGCCTGTTCCTTGTGTGCTGCATTGATCTGATGCTTCCATAATTGCTGTGGAAGGAGAAAGAACAGGGAGGGTTGCATATCATAGGTTTAAATAGGCCAAGCCTGAAAGTGGCAAGTGTCATTTTACCTCTCATCCATTCTATTGATTAGAACTCAGCCATTGTCCATACCTGTCTGAAATGAAGACAGGGAAATGGATTTTACCTGTGTGCCTAGGAAAAGATATGGGTTTGGTGAAAATCTAGCAGTGTCTACCTCAGTACAATACTTGCATTATCTCATTTACTCTGCCCTCCAGATCTGTGATTTACTTACATATATTGGTTCGATTCATATGAAATTGCTGACATTTGGCCATTTTTTACTTGTAAAATGGCAATTTCATTTGGTTCATTTTAATATCATACCCATTTTACAGCTGAGGAAACCTCAAAGATATTAAGTGATTTGCTCAAAGTTGGTCTGCTCCAGAGTTTATATACTTAGCCTTGAAATTATTGCTCCTCTTTTCTCTTTGGTTCTCTCACTTTTAATTATAGAATGGCAGGGCTTGAGGGGACTTATGAATTATTGGTTCACTGGTTTGCAAACTTATCTTTATGGAACACTTTTTCCAAATGCAATCTTTCTTGAAACTCAATCCATAAAATCAGGAATAGTGATGCCACTAGTTCAATGAGGCAGAGGAAGGTAGATAAAGTATCTCCCATTTGATCCCCACTCCTCCCTCTACAACAGCTCCTAGATACCCCTGGGCCTCCAGTGGTAGACCACTGACTAAGTCGAGTGGAACTCTATGAATCCTGTGCCCCTCCCACAGCATCCTTCTTGGCTAAGTGCTAGAGGGTGTTAAGTGCTCATACAGAGCTTCATAGAGGAAAGACAAGGTGTGGGAGTAAGGAGGTGGGGAAAGTGTCAGGTAGAGGACCTAAGGAAGAAAAGAACATTGTTTGTACAAAGACCAAAAGAAATGTCCCATGACTAAGACCAAGGACAGAGGGAGAAACAAAATGAGTCCTGAGCATTTCCACAATATCATAAGCCAGATTGTGGAATCTCGACCCTATCCTGCGGGCCATGAGGTGATGATGATGCATGATTATTGGCAGGAGGCTGTTGGGATTAGATTGTGTGGCAGAAGGAGGCCTCTGTAAAAAACTCAAATTCCCATCCATGGGACAGCAGTGAAATAAAGCGTAGGATATATATTCGATAGAATATACTACAAAAACCAAGATGAGTGAGCAGTAGTGATACCCGTCAATATGAAATGAGTGAACATATTATTAACTGAAGAAAGTAAGTCCCCAATTTTTTTTTTTTTTTTTTTTTTTTTTTTGGAGACAGAGTTTTGCTCTTGTTGCCCAGGCTGGAGTGCAATGGCGCAATCTCGGCTCACTGTTGCCTCCTGGGTTCAAGTGATTCTCCTGCCTCAGCCTCCCAAGTAGCTGGGATTATAGGTACCCGCCACCATGCTGAGCTAATTTTTTGTGCTTTTAGTAGAGATGGAGTTTCACCATGTTGGTCAGGCTGATCTTGAACTCCTAACCTCAGGTAATCGACCCACCTCGGCCTCCCAAAGTGCTGGGATTACAGGCGTGAGCCACCATGCCTGGCCCCAAACATTTTATATGGCACAACACCCTTTCCTCCCTTCTTTAAGTTAAAGCACACCTACACCTCAAATATACTATCTTTTAGGAATAAATACAGATGCAATAAATATGATTTAAAAAGAGAAACAAGGAAGTGATGAACATAAGAGTCAGGATGATGGTTATCTTGAGTCAGGAAAGTAAGGTAATAGCATGAGGAAGCATATGTTACATGTAAGTAGTCAAGTTCCTAGCTGGTGTTTCTTTGTTTGTTTGAGACTGAGTCTCGCCCTATTGCCCAGGCTGGAGTGTAGTGGCGCGATCTTGGCTCACTGCAACCTCCACCTCCTGGGTTTGAACAATTCTCCTGTCTCAGCCTCCTGAGTAGCTGGAATTACAAGCGCCCACCACCACGCCTGACTAATTTTTGTACTTTTAGTAGAGACAAGGTTTCACCATGTTGTCCAAGCTGATCTCGAACTTCTGACCTGAAGCAATCCACCTGCCTCAGACTCCCAAAATGCTGGAATTACAGGTGTAAGCCACTGCGTCCAGCCCCTAGCTGGTGTTGGTGGTGGTAGATTTGTGGGAGTTCATTAAAGTTTAAAAAGTTTATTAAAACTAACTAGGTAACTGAACAAATAAAGCCTACCCATGTATGGCTCAACAATGAGCTTCAGTCCTAAACTGAACATTGCAAATAATTTAATTCTGTGCACCAGAGGTCCCCAAACTAACACCAACAATAAAATACATATGTGTATGTCTCCACACCTCCAATGGCAGGGTCAGAATAGACTGTGAGAATGTAAGAGTAGAATCAAGGAGATCCATGAAGAGGCTGTTGCAGATTCCAGTAAATAACAAGAACAGGGCCAGGGGTAGTGGTTCATGCCTGTAATTCTAGCACTTTGGGAGCCTGAGGTGAGAGGATAGCTTGAGTCTGGTGGGTTCAAGACCAGTCTGGTGCGGTAGCTCACGCCTGTGATCTTAGCACTTTGGGGGGCCAAGACAGGCTGATCATGAGGTCAGGAGTTCAGGACCAGCCTGGTCAACATGGTGAAACTCCATCTCTACTAAAAATACAAAAATTAGTTGGGTGTAGTGACATGCACCTATAATCCCAGCTACTCAGGAGACTGAGGCAGGAGAATCGCTTGAATCCAGGAGGCGGAGGTTCCAGTGAGCCGAGATTGCACCATTGCACTCCAGCCTGGGCGAAGAGTGAGACTCTGTCTCAAAAAAAAAAAAAAAAAAAAAAGGAGCCTGGTGTGGTTGTGCACACCTGTCATCCCAGCCACTCTGGAGACTGAGGTGGGAGGATCGCTTGAGTGCATCAAGCACTCAAGGAAGAGGTCAAAACTTCAGTGAGCTATGATTGTGCCACTGCACTTCAACCCGGGCAACTGAATGAGACACAGTCTCCAAAACACAAATAAATAAAAATACCTAGTAGCTCGACTAGTGTTGTATCAGTGGATGTAGCTGTGTGTGACTGGCCTTCTGGGACTTGGTGAATGAGCCTATGAATATCCCTGTTTACTGCTCTGTGAACTCGCCCCAGTGACGGCCTTTCTGGGCCACACTGTCCTCATCTGCAATGTGACACACTACAAGCCAAGCCACGGGACTTTTGCAATGTGTTCTTGGCACATGCATAACAATAGATAGGCTGGTGGTGCCTTTCCTGTTTGTGCAGGAGCCAGATTCCCCTATGTCTGGATTCCATGCCAGGTTCTCTCAGCATCATTGAAATATTCAATTTATTGGAAATCCAGTGAGGTCTTTCTGAGGCCAATTAGTGGTGTGTAATCAGAGAATCCCAAGAGTGTGAAAGTGGTCACTAGATGTCACTGTTCTCCTTGCAGGAGACCTGTGGAGCTGGAAGTGCTGGTCATTCATTCATTAAGTATCTTTGTGCCCCCACTGTATGCTAAGACTGCGTTATACCCTGAAGAGTGAACAGTATGACAAGTGGATATGGTCTTTATCTTTATGGAGTTCACAGACTTATGGAGAAGACATTATTAATGAAACAATCACATGAATAAATAGAGTCAAGACTGTACAGAGTACTAGGCTGGTGGGTTGCAAGCGTGTATCAAGGGGCCTTGTGCAGAGAAGGCTTTCCTGAGGAAGTGACATGTAAAGTGAGCTTTTGGGGGCCAAGTGCTTAAAATGAATGTGAAAGTCTGGGGTTTCAGAAAGGAAGAGGAGAATGAGAACATCGCTGGTAGAATACCCAACTTCTGCAAAGACCTGAAGAATGAACAAATGTGACCCATTTCAGGAAGAGAATGAAAACCAGTGTGGCTGGAGCTGAGACTGGGAGAAAACCCCATGGACAATGCTGAAGAGAAGTCAGGCAGAACTGCACAACATGTGGTGAGAAGCTTAGCCCCAGGGCAGTCGGGAAGCCAGGATAAGTTAGAACAGACGACAGGCATGGCTACTGTCTTCTCACTTCCACTCTCTTTTCCTCTTAGTGATCCTTGCAAAGAAAGGTTAGAGCTGAAAGACTGTAGGTAGCTTCTTCCAAGCCTCCAGTTTCTTCTCTCCCTTCCCAAACACAAATGAAAGGCCTGTTTAAAGTGTCATGGCAGCCTAAGGGATGGAGTGCCTTAGGCATTTCCAAGGGAGCCAGGTTGCAGTGGGAATGAGTGGGATAGGCCCACTGCAGGTCTGGAAATGATCCTGGAGGAAGGGAATATGGCCACAAAACAAATCTGGTGGGAAGAAAAAGCAGCTACTCTCATTTTGTTTATCATTTGTTTCTCC